TCCCTCCTCTTCTTCCGTCCCTCCTCTCTCTCTCTCTCTCTCTCTCTCTCTCTTTCTCTCTTCCTGTCACGACACAGCTTATGCTACGTTGACCAAGAGGCAATCTAATCGGCAGATCGATCGACGATCGATTAGCTCGCCCCTGAAACCTGTTTCGTCTCGAAAACATATCTTGACATTTACTTAGATCGCGCGATATAAATCCCACTCGCGCTAATTCTCCGACTCTTTTTCTGTTACATTTAATTATAGATGGAGGATTCATTTTATCGGTAATTTTATGACATTCCCCAATGTAATTCTAAACAGATCGTATTCGCATGTACAACGAGTAGAGTATCTACAATGAAGGATTAATGATGGACTAATGGCTTTGTTCAGTGTGGGAATACGCCCGTGGCTGTGTATAGTACTGCATTACGATGATGCGCGTCCATTTCGCTAAACGCTACATTTCGAGGGATTAACCGTGCGCTACATTAATTATTATTAATGGTATCATATCCTATTCTGACACATTCTATTCGGCTATTCTAATGCATACATTATATCGGTTGCTAAGTGTTTCATTCATATCGGAGCAACTATTTTAAATCAATTCCGTAAATAATTAACGCAATATCAATAATGGAAACTGCATTGTTATATAGAAATGCACACTCTTCTTACGCTTTATATAACCTTTTGCAAACCTTTTAATAATAGATAACATCCATTCTCTCTTCTCTCTAGGCTTGCGATAACTCGATTTTATTTTATTTTATTTCATTAAGCTTTCAACATTTATCTATAATATAATCGTCCACGTATTACGTTAAAGAAGTAAACTGAGAAAGTAGAAAACGTGATATATGTTGCTTACGCGGTATAAAATCTTCCACTTCTTCGGCTCATTGTTCACGAATTCGATACGTCCGTCACTCGTCATTTATTTCATCCCTGAGCAAATGGATATTGAATACTCAAATCTAATAAAAGCGCCGTTAAATCGAAACTTTAATTTCGTCGGAATTAGTCGCCTGCGTTCAACGAACTTTCAGGAATCTAATCGCCTGGAAGCAATATAGAGGACGTTGTAATGCCTCATTCCCCGTACGAATCTCGTACTGCGCACATTGATCCTCTTAAATTCTCATGTACCTTCCGTCTTGGCATTAGCATATTATCTCACCTCCGCAACCCCCTCTCCCTTCCCCTTCCCTCTCCCCGTCCCCCATCTCCCTTCTGGCACCTCAGACCTCCTCCCCCTCTGATTCGCGAAGGACTTCGCAGACACTCGAGAGTTTGTTTTAAAACTCAGATAATCGTTCCAAACTCTCGTCGTGTCCTTCTCTTTCTCGTTCTTATTCCGTGTCTATATCCCCCCCCCCTCCTCCCCCCGCTACGTTTCCCCTTTCAGCCCTCTCCCTTTCTCACTCGTTCTTCGCCTCGAGTCCCGAGGGGAAAATTAGACCGAAATAAAAGTTCTCGCCAATTTTTAAGCGCGTTACACTTGTCTCTAAGGAGGATGAGATTGCGCGGTTCGATCGAAGTTCCTCGCCGAGAAACGGAGCTAAAGCTTTTCACGAGTCTTCTCGCCGTCGTTACTATTTGCGGAGCAACGACATTTTCCTTTTAATCGACTTTCTTCTGAGAGATGCAATGTTTTCTCTCAACTTCTTTATCCCGGAATTATTTCCAGGAATATCAACACCAACTTTTTATTCGGTATATAAAAATTATTAACTATGAGGAGAGAGAGAGAGAGAGAGAGAGAGAGAGAGAGAGAGAGAGAGAGAGAGAGAGAGAGAGAGAGAGGAGGAGGAGGAGGAGGAGGAGGAGGAGGAGAGGAGAGGAGAGAGAGAGAGAGAG